AAAGTAGAGTCAACAGGCCAGGTAGAAGTGACTTTACTCCAGCTCCTTCCTTAATTTGGGAGAGTTGTTCAGGGATTTGCGAGACTTGAATGCGAGCATAGCTGCCTCAAACAAAAACTCAATGAATTTCCCTATGGTATTCCAAGGGTTTTCGGGAAATATTGCGATCTACCGAATTAACAATTAGCGTGGCCCTCAAGATTTACGATTTCGATGCGGATGGCAACAATTACAAGATGCCATCTCTCGTTGATTTCGTACAGAGATGCCACCTCCACATCATCACATGTCGGAAACCAAACTCCAACAGAAATATAATTTTTGTGTGAAGGGTGACATTGGTGTTAGATGTCTCGAGGATATTTGTTCCTAACGTTCCTGGTACGATATTGGTCCCTCTTTCAAGGTACCTGGAATTCATCGTCAGGACTTTTCGCCATCTTGAAAACCCTAATTTCTTCCAGGAAATTGTTCACCTCTCTTCTGCGTTTCTCTAGTCTTCTCTCAGGTGGGGGGAGTGGTAGTATCCATATTCTCCCCCTTTTGGTCTTGGAGTTGCTGATGGGCTAGGAGACTATCCTGATGATCCTGATCGAGTCTTTCAGGTATGGCCGGCATCTCTTCCTATGATGTGGGGCAGATTCAGGATTTGCACCGACAAGGGCTACATGTGTTATACCTCTTGATGGTCTGACCTGGGAAAGACTTTACCTACCGGGACATTCATGAATAACTGGCTGGTCGAGTTGATTCCTATTTCTTCAATCCATCTGGACATCTTCTATACGTTTCTTGAAAGCACCTTCCTTCTTCATAATGGTTCTTGATCTTTCAGACTCATCCTCAAATGATTCCTTCAGATGAATCCCGTAAAAATCCTTCAATTAATTTGCAGGGCAGTCATCTGGATTTGTTTGTACATTTCCATATTTATTTCCTGTACAATTATTTTCACTTCGGAATTAGGGCGCCTTCTCATGGATTATCTCGGAGGCCCGGTTGACACGAAGTTCCATAGAATTGGATGAATGCCCTCTCCTTCAGATAGTCCGTAACTTTTAGAAAAGGGTGAATGGGCTTTCTTTGACCTATCCATACTTGTCCCAGCTGGGGTATAGGCGCCTCACCGTCGGTCAGACCTACTCGATCCAGTTCTCTGTTCTCTCTTCGGAAGAAACGTTCTCTGGGCTCTACTGTCTGGCTCCATCAGAAGTATTTCAATTTTTTATCCAACACAGTAGACACATTGAGGATGTATAATGGACAATCACTCACGGGTTCACGAAATCTAACTATCCTGTAATGTAAATCTGAAATATACAAGGTGTTTCATAATTGAATGCAGATCCTTAAGGGCGATAATCCTTGAATGATTTCAAAGAGAAAAGTTCCTATCAACATATGTCCTAAACCTCTTAAATATTGAGCTACAGGGTGATAAAATTTCAAGAAAAAAATGAGTTTTTCATCATAATTTTTTATCACTCTTAGATATTGTTATGATATTCTGTATACACCTTTCCATTATTAAGGAGCATTTTTTTACGTGGAAGATATTTAAAAATTCTCACCAGTGGCGTCTGTACGGGGTTTGAATTGACAATTTTTGAGGAAAAAAATAGTACGCCACTGATTTTTCTGAGAACCAGATTTTTTTTTCAATTCTCATTCATTTTGGAGCAAATTTGGTTACTAGATTTACTTTCATTCAAAGTACCGTTTTCTTCCTTCAGTTCTTGGATATTGTTTTTGGTAATTCAGTAGACACCCACTATAAGTGGAAACACATTTTGTTTTGGGACGAAAATCGAACTTTTACTTTTACCAGTGATGTCCTCGTAGACGTGATATTGAATGTTTTGTTAAAAAAAAACGCTGTACGCTTCTGATTTCAACACCCTGTAGCTCAAAAACTAAGAGGTTCAGGACATATGTTCAGATCGAATCGTTCGTTCGAGCAGCGAGTGTTTGTCGTTTGTTTATGTTTGGTCCGCGTTCGATTGTCTGTCTCGAGTGAACTTTAGTGCCCAGAATAATCTCTTGTGGTTATATCATCGTGAACAGCTCATTTGGACTGGAGTTTTCGTTGGCAAGGTCAGTGTGTTGAGTCGAATTACCTAACCAGGTAGCTGATTAAAAGCTTGAAGCATCATATATTTTCTCTCTAAGCTGCGACATCTTGGGACTAATTTTGGTATCGAGTATGACTATCACTCTACAAGACATCGTCAACGAAATTAGAAATCTCAAAGCAGATCTGAATACTAAGATAGATGGCGTTAAGGAAGACATCTCTGATCTAGGAAGCAAACTAAGCAATAAGGTCAGCGAACTAGAGGCTCGAGTAAACAGAATCGAAACTGACAACGCTGAACTGAAAACTAGGTTACTGCAAGCAGAACGAAAGCTGAAGAGTAGAAATCTAATATTCTATGGTTTGCGAGAAAATGAGAATGAGGACAAGAGAGATCTGCTTAAAACGGTTTCTGCTATAATCTCGAACGAACTTAAAGTTAACTTCCAGTCTATAGAAATCATTGATCTGTATCGACTTGGAAAGAAAACTATCAAACCAAGACCTGTCCTCGTTGCATTACTCTCTGGTTTTCTTCGGGATGATGTAAATTTATGAAATTCTGATGTCTATAAAATCTAAGGCTATTGGAGCAGATGAAATTGGAATCAACATGCTACTACATAGTTGTCCTTTCATCTTAACCTTCATCGAGCACATTTTCAATTTCTGTATCTCTAACAATGTTTTTCCCTCTATTTGGAAAAAAACTCATGTTATACCTCTACCTAAAGTTAGTGACCCACATGATTTAAAAGACTTGAGGCCTATAAGCATCCTTTGTACATTATCTAAAGCTTTTGAAAAGGTTCTTAGTAAACAGATCAAATCATACCTATATAGATTCGATATTTTGCCTCATTGTCAGTCTGGTTTCAGACCTAACTACAGTTGTATGACTGCTTTATTAAAAGTTACTGACGATATACATGCCGCTCTGGACAAGAATGAGCTAACCATTTTGATACTATTAGATTATACTAAAGCTTTCGATAGGATAGACCATCAACTACTCTTATCAATTCTGCATTACATCGGTTTCGGAAATGGTTCTGTGAATTTAATGAGACATTACCTTGCTAAGCGGCTACAGGCTGTGATACATGAGCAGTCATCATCCCAATATCTTTACTTGAAAAGAGGTGTCCCTCAAGGTTCCATATTGGGTCCTCTTATGTTCATAATCTACACCTTCGAATTCACCACATACTTGAAATACTGTCAATCGCACTACTATGCAGACGATACACAATTATATTATAGCTTCAAAGAAAGCGATGTCGCAACAGCATGTGAACGAATCAATGATGACATTAAATCGTTAGAGATGATTTCTACTAATTTCAATTTGGCTATAAATCCCTGTAAATCTAACGTTATGTTATTTGGAAGTACACCAGCTCGCAAGCGGTGTGTTGATCTCATAAATATTATTGCGGGTGATGTGAACTTGACGCTAAATGAAAATGCCAAAAATTTAGGAATATTATTAGACAATAAGTTGAGATACTCATCACATGTTACCATGATACTTCGCAGAGCTTTTGGTAATCTCAAACTCATTTATAGTAATAAAGCACTTTTGAATAAAAATCTCAAGATAATGTTGTGTGAGTCTCTAGTTCTGTCCCATCTCAATTATGTAGATGTAATCTATGGGCCCAATCTTTTGAAATCAGACTGTCTTAGAATTCAACGAGTACAAAATTGCTGGGTTCGGCTCATATGTGGCCTGAAGAAGGGAACACCTACATCACCACATTTAAGAAGTCTGGGTTGGTTGAATATGGAAGAAAGACGCTTAGTGCATGCTTGCATTATTTTTCACAAAATCATAATTTCGAGAACTCCACCATATTTATACAATAAAATCAGATTCAGAACGGATGTTCACAACCTCAATATTAGACACAAATCGCGCATCACTCCTCCACAGCATAAGTCAACTTTCTATGAAGGATCTTTCAGTTTTCATTTGACTAGGCTATACAACTGGCTTCCAGAGGAGTTGAAAAGTGTATCTGTTTTTGTCCTCAAACAGAGGCTGAAAAATTGTTTGATATCAGGGAGAATTTCGTTTCCTTGATATAGTTCTCTGTCAATATCTGTTCACAACTGATCTATGAAAATATCTCTAATATAGGACTATAATTCATAAATATGTATATATCTTCTCTCTTTTTTTTCTGCTTTTTCATCTTTCTTCCTTCTGTTATGAACATAATGATGTTTCAGATGATTATGCATGTATCATTCAATTATTATTAGATTCTAGTAGTTAGTTATTTTTAAATATATATTTGAACTTATTCATATTGACTTGAATGCATATGAATGAGTTTTTACTGGTTGAGTGGAAGAGCAAATTCCTGTCTTCACAGGCAATCTGAACTCTGCCATTTGGCAGGCATTTATTAAGTGTTCAACCTGTATTATTATTATTATTATATGAACTTCTCTCCTTAAAATCATCCAAGGATCATCGCCCTTTAGGATCAGCATTCAATTATGAAACACCCTGTATATTCAAGATGTATCAATACTTTCTAGGATTCCTGGCTTTGTTTGGAAAGCCAACTAGTAGAAAAGAAGAAGCCTCCATGATAAAGTGTCATTCATCTCAGATTAATTTCTTTAAATCACTCAAAAATAATGGAGGTCTTAGAGAATTTGAATTTTTTCGGATATCTCCGGAAGTATTCGATACACAAATTTGTCATTATCCAACCGACACTGTATCTCTTTCGGTTCACGAGCTCTCACTGATGAGGCTCTAATTCCAGCCACTCTGTAAATAATAATTGGTGATTTTCATTATTGACAAGAACGTTTCATCATTGAGTATCCCAATCATCACATCTCGAAGTCGTTGAATAACAAGTGATTGAAACACTATTTCCTGATTCAAATGAGAAACTGGAACTCTTTCACATAATAACAGACATTTTTGAATGAGTAATTTCCTACGTTTTATCAACATTATCAATACCCGATTGAATGGCGTATCAAGTACATAAAAAATTGGAAATATGTGAATTCAAAAAGTTTAAATAAACAAGAATTTGTTGTTTCAATCTATTATTATTCTAACGTTGAATGTTGAATACAGGTTATTTCTAGCAATTATTCTTCCGTACTTTGTGAATATGTCGTTTCATTGAGATAGAATGACGTAGTATTGCTAGAGAGTGTCAACGTTTTGTTTCAACGTCTTATAGTTGTTGTAGATGAACATAAAGTTATAAATTGTTGGGATGCTGACTTGAAGATTCTTTCTCCAAGGTATGGATAATATGTAGGTATAAGGTTCAATACATCTCACCTACATATTGAGTTCATATCAATGATCATATCAACATCAATAAATTCAATGAGTTGTTCCAATATCGTTTCCAGACTCTAGTTTCCAGTATCTTTTCGAAGATCAATCTGAAAGTTTTCATGTGAAAATCATCTGGGTAATCCCCAATATCTCCTCATTTTATTCGTTTTATTTGTACAGGGTGGTGCAGAATTCAGAATCTTGATCACCCGGTATATGTCCCAATTAAATATCAGTAGAGAGTTAATCAAAAGTTGAGATAGGGACATGTAAGCCGTTTTGACCAATTATGAATAGTTTCGACACAAAAAATGTTTGAACTTGGAAAATCTCGATTTTTCACACCCTATATTTCAGTAATTAAAACTGCTAGACCCCAAGTATGATGGGTCGTTGAAATTAGCTTATCAGGGAGAATCTCAAAATGAAATAATGAATAGGGTGTTTGATAGAAAAAAGTTCAACTTCAATGTTTCATGGTTTTTGGGGACACCCTGTATGTTTCGAAATAATTTTAAATGGTAGCCTATGTTGACATGCAACTTCCTAGAGAGGAAGAATTCCAAGAAGATAAGTGGTTAGCCTTCTAGAGACTGAGGCGTTACTGGTGGCCCACCCTGTATATCATTTCGTTATTAGATGACGGTCGAAATTTGACGCCGGCTTTCGGACTATTAGATATGTTATGAGTTGGGATGTCATGTCAATAAATAAAACAGTCATAGAAAAACACCAAACATTTGATTACGATGGTAGGGCTCAGATATCCCAGGTTTTGACAAATATGTATAAATAAAAAAAATATTTTCTCTCAAGAAACTACATTCAACTGATGCCATATGGATGAGAATATATCTAAATGAAATTTTATATCGGCCTTCAAAACCCAAGATTTGGTGTCAGGACACATTATAGCCATTGCAGATTTTTCAAGAACAAGCAATTAAATATGGGAGGATTCGATCATCAGCGCGTGTAGAGGGAAGTATATACCTTTTATATGTGTTTTGATCAATTTGTGACCTGGCTATATGATTTAAAATTGACCAGTATACATGCTAGCATTGGGCAATAGGTGTACATACATTTTTCTAAAATTCTTTATTATTTTTCCTAAGATCTATTATGACAAAACAACAGATCATAAACATAAACCACAGTCATTGACACTTGACTCAGCTAGAGGTCCGCTGAAGGCAATAATTCAGTTAACCATGACTTTCGGTATGCCGTATGAATGCATTTTTAGACCAATCAGAATGTATAAACACGCGCCTGCGTGATCCGATTTCGGCGCAGTTGAAGTTTGAATATTCATCACTTTGCAAGCATTTGGAGAAGTTTTGCTCAAGTTTCCATTTTCTGCTGATGGAAATTTTCAAAATATTGATCAGTTGACTCACCATAGTTGTGGAAGCACTGGTTTGGTTTCCTTGTACAGAGAGCTCTCTCGCACTACTTCCGCACTGTTGCCAGCTCATGTACTTATCCTTTCATCCACTGTTTCTTGAGATGCACCGATTTAAGTTAACAACAAGTGTTCAAAATTAGCGCCACCCATTTCTCGCACGGCGTAGTAATGATTCACTAGCCCGCTGAAAACTACCTTGTTGTCGCATTACTTGAACCGCATTGTTTCTTTTTTTCCTCGAAATCTCTTGGTGGCCACGGTACAGGCTCTCCACGACCAATCCATTTTTGTAGAAATTCGCCGTTCGAAAATTCCCGAACTATTGCACAGTAATGGCTAGGAGCTTCATCATGGCATGAAAAACATTATTTGTCCCAATGGCAAATCTTGTAAAAGAGTATCTAGATCATGTTGCAAAAATTCCAAATAGGAAAGCCCATTCATTCTTGGCGGCAACTCATGAAGTCCAATTAGAACTACGTTCACCACTCCACCTCATTGATTGATCGAAAAGCGATGTTGAAAGTCAGGTTGCTTAGTCACATAAAAATTTTCAACTGTCCAATGGTGATAATTATGATAATAGAAAATACCATTTCGGGTGAATGTTATCTCATCAGTGAAAAGAATTTCATTCAGGAAATTTGAATTGACTTTATGTTGACCTAGTATCCATTCACAGAATTGTATCCTTCGTGGATAATCTTCTGGCTGCAACGACTGCACACGCTGATAATGGAAGGGATGCTGCATGTCCTCATTCGAAGTCCGCCCGACAACTTAATTTGGAACCCCTAACTGACGACCAATGCCGCGGGTAGGTTG